CCACCTCAAGCATGCTCTTGAGGGGGATCCTCAAGCTCCCAGTCCTCCCAGCATGCTCCCTCAAGTATTCTCACACTGAAAATCCTTCTGAGATGTTTCCCTGAGCATCCTTCCCCCGGCACCCCCCCTCAAAAGGTGGCGCTGTCCTCGGGGACAGGGGGATGTCACCCATCTGGCCTTGAACTGGACCAGTTCCTGGAAGCACAGTGGCCATGGCTCTGCAGTGCAGAGGAGGTGAAAGTGGAGTCCCCATGCTGGTGGAAGAGTCCCTCACCTCCTGGATCTCCTCATCCCGCAGGATGCTGCTTGGTGTGCTCAGCACCAGCCTGCATGGTTCCTCCACGGCCAGGGCTGGGGCTCCCTCCCAGCCTGGCTCTCCACAGTCCACAGGCAGCTCCTCGTCCTCCTTGGGCTGGCGGCAGGTGGAAGTGAGCATCCTCAAACCTACCCTGTCCAGGGCCTGGGCCAAGGGGCCCAAAGGCCACAAGGATGGGCAGTGGACGGAGTCTCTGGCCCAGACTGAGAGCCCAACCATGCCATGCTGTGCAATGCCGTGCCCTGGTACCCTGTCAGGCCATGGCACCACTGTGTGCCACAAGTGTGTCAACCGGCCACACCACAAGTGTGTCAACCGGCCACACTCTCAGAATGGCTGTGGGTGCAGCCCCTGCACCAAGGCATGTGGGCAGTAGTTCCCTGCTGCTGTGGGAGACAGGCAGAAAACACCCTGAGGGGACAAGAGGGATGAGCCAGGGCAGCTCCAGGTGGCAGGAGATCTTCAGCATGATTGAATCTTCAGGGAGTAGCAGGGCTACAGGGTCAGGTCCTGAGCATGCCCATCACCCTCTGCACCTCCCCAGCCCCTCACCCCAGGGCAGCCCCTGGCCAGCTAGCCATGTGTCCAGCCTGGTTGGTGCCTCCCAGTGCTACCCTGGGCCTTGCTGCCAGTGCCCATGCTGCCATGTGGGACCCCACCACGCCACGCTGGACCTACCAGGAGGTGGTATTGGGCACGGAACCCCCTCATTTGCGTCTGTGTGGGTGCTGCTGGGAGCCACGCTGCCAGGAAGCCCTCAACACCACCTCGGGGTTAATGTTTACCTGTGCTGGCCCCTCCCTGGCCAGGCGTGACATGGGTGAGTGGGGACACGGGCAGCCTGCCCTGGCTTGTGTGTGTGTGGGTTGTCCAGGACACATCCCCTTGCAGAACAAAATCCAGCGTGGGACTGGGATGGGTGCCCTTCCCTTGCCCTGCCCTTCCCTGTTCCTGCCTCTGCCCTTTTCTCTGTCCCTGCCTGTGCACCGCCACAACACTGCCCTGGGGTTAACGTTCACCCGTGCCGGCCCCTCCCACCGCCCATGCCTGACACGGGTGGGTA